ACATACCCCCTAAAAACTACAACAACCTCTATATTCTTATGTAATTATATTAACAGTATATCCAAGCAACCTTTACATTTAATAGATCAATTTATGTTAGCCAATCCAAATTCTAGAAGCTTGATCAACGATTACAAAACCATCTGTCAACTATTCGCACAGTGGTACCAGGAATATTTTTATAAATGTGAGAATGAACAAATGCAATCAATAGACGCTAATTTTAGCCAATACCTGACCTTCGACCTCATTCACCGTGATTGGGTACTTTGAATTTGTTAAATTGAATTTGATTGGCTTATTCGAATTTTGAGTCTCACGTGTCATATCCGAGTTTGCGATGCCGTCGACAACGCCGATACGTTGTGCGACAGATTCGTATCTTCCTCCGCATGTATGCTCTGCTTGGGCCATGCTCGAGCCTCCGACTCTTTGCCAAGTCGTACCATATCCCCGAAGCAACATTCCGACGGTGGGTCGCGAACTCGTCCAGCTACCTGGCGAAAAAGACCCATGGTCCGTGGGCAACTCTTCATGGCAAAGGACGCCTGGAATCTGTCGAGTTCTCAAGCGACTTGGTCGCATTCATGGAGTCCGTGCGGGACGGTGAACACTTCGTCACGACTGCACATCTGGTCACCTGGATGAAGTCGCACCGGCCGCTTTGGCTCAAAGCGTACATGGATGCCAAGCTCAATGATGACCGCGCATACAAGAGCCTGCTCCAATGGTGCCTGAAGTTCGCGAACCGTCATGGATACTTCCATCGAGTGCCGTGCGCTGCCAAGGCCACCCAGTCAGAGCTTCAAGTCGTACAAGAAGCATTCTCGGCGGAGTTCTTCTCAAAGTTTGGGCACCTTCCACGCCGCGCGTGGATCAACGTCGACGAAACCCCGGTGTACTACGACATGCCACCGGGCAAGACACTGGCCAAAGTTGGCAAGTCAACGCGAGTCCAAGAGACGCAGAAGCACTCCGACCGGATTACGGTCGTGCTGTGAATCCGGGCAAACGGTGCAAAAGATACGTCGTAAAATGTTCTAAACTGCTGTAGGGGAAAAAATGCCCATGTTGATCATCGTCAAGGGCACTCCCGGCGGCGACATCGAGCGTCACGAACTCCCAACGTATCCTGTTGGACCTGTGTATGCAGTTCAAAAGACTGCATACATGAACCAACGGGTTTGGTCGTATTACCTGCGGGAAGTGCTGATGCCCGACATTGACTGCCCATCGGTCGTGCTCGCTGACAACCTCAAGTGCCACGTTTCCAAGAAGTCCTACAAGATCCTTGAAGACGAACTCTTTTCTGCGGCCTACTTGCAACCACTTCCTGCGAACACCACGAGTGTTCTGCAACCCCTGGACGTTGGGGTTATGGGCCCGTTCAAGCAAATGTGCCGTTCCGAGTGGATCAAGGAAGAAAAAGTTGTCACTACAGCGGAAAAGCGCCTTGCCATGAT